GTATATCACCATGTTACAGTATCTCCCTACAACACTATATATCACCATGTTACAGTATCTCCCTACAACACTGTATATCACCATGTTACAGTATCTTCCTGCAACACTATATATCACCATGTTACAGTATCTCTCTACAACAATGTATATCACCATGTTACAGTATCTCCCTACAACACTGTATATCACCATGTTACAGTATCTCCCTACAACACTGTATATCACCATGTTACAGTATCTCCCTACAACACTGTATATCACCATGTTACAGTATCTCCCTACAACACTGTATATCACCATGTTACAGTATCTCTCTACAACACTATATATCACCATGTTACAGTATCTCCCTACAACACTGTATATCACACCATGTTACAGTATCTCCTACAACACTGTATATCACCATGTTACAGTATCTCCTACAACACTATATATCACTGTGTTATATCTCACTGTACCATGTATATATCTCCTACAACATGTATATCACCATGTTACCCTCCTACAACACTGTATATCATCACCATGTTACAGTATCTCCCTACAACACTGTATATCACCATGTTACAGTATCTCCCTACAACACTGTATATCACCATACAGTATCTCCTGCAACACTGTATACAGTATCTCCCTACAACACTGTATATCACCATGTTACAGTATCTCTCTACAACACTGTATATCACCATGTTACAGTATCTCCCTACAACACTGTATATCACCATGTTACAGTATCTCCCTACAACACTGTATATCACCATGTTACAGTATCTCCCTACAACACTGTATATCACCATGTTACAGTATCTCCCTACAACACTATATATCACCATGTTACAGTATCTCTCTACAACACTGTATATCACCATGTTACAGTATCTCCCTACAACACTGTATATCACCATGTTACAGTATCTCCCTACAACACTGTATATCACCATGTTACAGTATCTCCCTACAACACTATATATCACCATGTTACAGTATCTCCCTACAACACTGTATATCACCATGTTACAGTATCTCCCTACAACACTGTATATATCACCATGTTACAGTATCTCCCTACAACACTGTATATCACCATGTTACAGTATCTCCCTACAACACTGTATATCACCATGTTATATTCCTACAACACTGTATATATCACCATGTTACAGTATCTACAACACTATATCACCATTGTTACAGTATCTCTCTACAACACTCTATATCAACATGTTACAGTATCTCTCTACAACACTGTATATCACCATGTTACAGTATCTCCCTACAACACTGTATATCACCATGTTACAGTATCTCCCTACAACACTCTATATCACCATGTTACAGTATCTCCCTACAACACTGTATATCACCATGTTACAGTATCTCCCTACAACACTATATATCACCATGTTACAGTATATCCCTACAACACTATATATCACTATGTTACAGTATCTCCCTACAACCCTGTATATCACCATGTTACAGTATCTCCCTACAACACTATGTATCACCATGTTACAGTATCTCCCTACAACACTATATATCACCATGTTACAGTATCTCCTACAACACTGTATATCACCATGTTACAGTATCTCCCTACAACACTGTATATCACCATGTTACAGTATCTCCCTACAACACTGTACATCACCATGTTACTCTACAACAACTGTATATATCACCTTGTTACAGTATCTCCCTACAACACTGTATATCACCATGTTACAGTATCTCCCTAAAACACTGTATATCACCATGTTACAGTATCTCCCTACAACACTATATATCACCTTGTTACAGTATCTCTCTACAACACTATATATCACCTTGTTACAGTATCTCTCTACAACACTGTATATCACCATGTTACAGTATCTTCCTCCTGCAACAAATATATATATCACCATGTTACAGTATTTCCCTACAACACTATATATCACCATGTTACAGTATTTCCCTACAACACTATATATATCACCATGTTACAGTATCTCCTACAACACTGTATATCACCATGTTACAGTATCTCCCTACAACACTGTATATATCACCATGTTACAGTATCTCCTACAACACTGTATATCACCATGTTACAGTATCTCTCTACAACACTGTATATCACCATGTTACAGTATCTCCCTACAACACTGTATATCACCATGTTACAGTATCTCCCTACAACACTATATATCACCATGTTACAGTATCTCCCTACAACACTGTATATCACCATGTTACAGTATCTTCCTGCAACACTATATATCACCATGTTACAGTATCTCTCTACAACAATGTATATCACCATGTTACAGTATCTCCCTACAACCCTGTATATCACCATGTTACGCTATCTCCCTACAACACTGTATATCACCATGTTACAGTATCTCCCTACAACACTGTATATCACCATGTTACAGTATCTCCCTACAACACTGTATATCACCATGTTACAGTATCTCTCTACAACACTATATATCACCATGTTACAGTATCTCCCTACAACACTGTATATCACTATTTTACAGTATCTTCCTACAACACTGTATATCACCATGTTACAGTATCCCCCTACAACACTATATATCACTATGTTACAGTATCTCCCTACAACACTGTATATCACCATGTTACAGTATCTCCCTACAACACTGAATATCACCATGTTACAGTATCTCCCTACAACACTGTATATCACCATGTTACAGTATCTCTCTACAACACTGTATATCACCATGTTACAGTATCTCCCTACAACACTATATATCACCATGTTACAGTATCTCCCTACAACACTGTATATCACCTTGTTACAGTATCTCTCTACAACACTGTATATCACCATGTTACAGTATCTTCCTGCAACACTATATATCACCATGTTACAGTATTTCCCTACAACACTGTATATCACCATGTTACAGTATTTCCCTACAACACTATATATCACCATGTTACAGTATCTCCCTACAACACTGTATATCACCATGTTACAGTATCTCCCTACAACACTGTATATCACCATGTTACAGTATCTCCTACAACACTGTATATCACCATGTTACAGTATCTCTCTACAACACTGTATATCACCATGTTACAGTATCTCCCTACAACACTGTATATCACCATGTTACAGTATCTCCTACAACACTATATATCACCATGTTACAGTATCTCTCTACAACACTGTATATCACCATGTTACAGTATCTTCCTGCAACACTATATATCACCATGTTACAGTATTTCCCTACAACACTGTATATCACCATGTTACAGTATTTCCCTACAACACTATATATCACCATGTTACAGTATCTCCCTACAACACTGTATATCACCATGTTACAGTATCTCCCTACAACACTGTATATCACCATGTTACAGTATCTCCTACAACACTGTATATCACCATGTTACAGTATCTCTCTACAACACTGTATATCACCATGTTACAGTATCTCCCTACAACACTGTATATCACCATGTTACAGTATCTCCCTACAACACTATATATCACCATGTTACAGTATCTCCCTACAACACTGTATATATCACCATGTTACAGTATCTTCCTGCAACACTATATATCACCATGTTACAGTATCTCTCTACAACAATGTATATCACCATGTTACAGTATCTCCCTACAACACTGTATATCACCATGTTACGCTATCTCCCTACAACACTGTATATCACCATGTTACAGTATCTCCCCTACAACACTGTATATCACCATGTTACAGTATCTCCCTACAACACTGTATATCACCATGTTACAGTATCTCTCTACAACACTATATATCACCATGTTACAGTATCTCCCTACAACACTGTATATCACTATTTTACAGTATCTTCCTACAACACTGTATATCACCATGTTACAGTATCCCCCTACAACACTATATATCACCATGTTACAGTATCTCCCTACAACACTGTATATCACCATGTTACAGTATCTCCCTACAACACTGAATATCACCATGTTACAGTATCTCCCTACAACACTGTATATCACCATGTTACAGTATCTCCCTACAACACTGTATATCACCATGTTACAGTATCTCCCTACAACACTATATATCACCATGTTACAGTATCTCCCTACAACACTGTATATCACCATGTTACAGTATCTCCTACTAAACACTGTATATCACCATGTTACAGTATCTCCCTACAACACTCTATATCACCATGTAACAGTATCTCCCTACAACACTGTATATATCACCATGTTACAGTATCTCCCTACAACACTATATATCACCATGTTACAGTATCTCCCTACAACACTGTATATCACCATGTTACAGTATCTCCCTACAACACTCTATATCACCATGTTACAGTATCTCCCTACAACACTATATATCACCATGTTACAGTATCTCCCTACAACACTGTATATCACCATGTTACAGTATCTCCCTACAACACTCTATATCACCATGTAACAGTATCTCCCTACAACACTATATATCACCATGTTACAGTATCTCCCTACAACACTATATATCACCATGTAACAGTATCTCCCTACAACACTATATATCACCATGTTACAGTATCTTCCTACAACACTGTATATCACCATGTTACAGTATCTCCCTACAACACTGTATATCACCATGTTACAGTATCTCCCTACAACACTCTATGTCACCATGTAACAGTATCTCCCTACAACACTATATATCACCATGTTACAGTATCTCCCTACAACACTGTATATCACCATGTAACAGTATCTCCCTACAACACTATATATCACCATGTTACAGTATCTCCCTACAACACTGTATATCACCATGTTACAGTATCTCCCTACAACACTGTATATCACCATGTTACAGTATCTCCCTACAACACTGTATATCACCATGTTACAGTATCTCCCTACAACACTGTATATCACCATGTTTCAGTATCTCCCTACAACACTATATATCACCTTGTTACAGCATCTCCTCTTTCAGAATCTCATCGTAGCCATGATGTTGTCACTGGTTCTGCTGTGTTGCGTTTTGGCGAGTGTGTCGGCGCAGTGTCAGCCTGGCGGGAACTGTCAGCTCCCAGATTGCCGCTGTTGGTTCGATGAGGATATCCCAGGAAGCCTTGCACCAGACGAAACCCCCCAGGTCGTCCTAGTGACGTTCGAGGACGCTGTGAACGAGGTGAACGCTGACATGTACAAGTCCCTATTCACAGGTAACCCTCACACAGCATCCTTATTCACTTGAAACAATGATTAGGTCAATAATAACTGGTAATATTTTGCATGTCTCTATTCAATGGTAACAATTATTCAGGTCCCTATTCAACGGTGGCAGTTATTCAGGTATCCATTCACAGGGAACAGTTATTCAGGTTCCTGTTCACCAATAACAATTATTCAGGTCCTTAAGGTAAAGTACAGGTACTCAGGTCACTATACACAGGATACAGGTACTCAGGTCACTATACACAGGTAACAGGTACTCAGGTCACTATACCCAGGTAACAGGTACTAAGGTCACTATACACAGGAAACAGGTACTCAGGTCACTATACACAGGTAACAGGTACTCAGGTCACTATACACAGGTAACAAGTACTCAGGTCACTATACACAGGTAACAGGTACTCAGGTCACTATACACAGGTAACAGGTACTCAGGTCACTATACACAGGTAACAGGTACTCAGGTCACTATACACAGTAAACAGGTACTCAGGTCACTATACACAGGTAACAGGTACTCAGGTCACTATACACAGGTAACAAGTACACAGGTCACTATACACAGGTAACAGGTACTCAGGTCACTATACACAGGTAACAGGTACTCAGGTCACTATACACAGGTAACAGGTACTCAGGTCACTATACACAGGTAACAGGTACTCAGGTCACTATACACAGGTAACATGTACTCAGGTCACTATACACAGGTAACAGGTACTCAGGTCACTATGCATGCAACAGGTACTCAGGTACTAGGTCACTATAACACAGGTCACTATATACAGGTAACAGGTACTCAGGTCACTATACACAGGTAACAGGTACTCAGGTCACTATACACAGGTAACAGGTACTCAGGTCACTATACCCAGGTAACAGGTACTCAGGTCACTATACACAGGTAACAGGTACTCAGGTCACTATACACAGGTAACAGCCACTCAGGTCACTATACACAGGTAACATTTCTTCGGGCCCCTATTCACCGGTACCAATTATTCAACGGTGACAGTTGTTCGGGTCCCTATTCAAAGGAAATACCTATTCAGATCCATATTCACCAGTAACCGTTATTCACGTCCCTATTCACCGATAACCGTTATTCACATCCCTATTCACCGATAACCGCTATTCACGTCCCTATTCACCGATAACCGCTTTTCACGTCCCTATTCACCGATAACCGTTATTCACGTCCCTGTTCACCGATAACCGCTATTCACGTCCCTATTCACCGATAACCGCTATTCACGTCCCTATTCACCGATAACCGCTATTCACGTCCCTATTCACCGATAACCGCTATTCACGTCCCCATTCACCGATAACCGCTATTCACGTCCCTATTCACCGATAACCGTTATTCACGTCCCTATTCACCGATAACCGTTATTCACGTCCCTATTCACCGATAGCCGGTTTTTTACGTCAGCATTAAAGACCTTGGAGCCAACAAGTATACGTATCAATATGACTTCATCAACCAGTGCCTGTATATCAATACGTATCAATATGACTTCATCAACCAGTGCCTGTATATTATTACGTATCAATATGACTTCATCAACCAGTGCCTGTATATCATTACGTATCATATGGTTTGACTACACATGAAGCTAAATCCCTACAGCACACAAGTATGCTGCTTTTGTATGCAATATATCTCTCAGTCACCTCCCATCACGTCAATCAACAAACTTAACACCCCGTCTAACCCTACGGTTCCCTTCAGGTACAAATCCTAATGGCTGTCCAGTCCGGGGAACATTTTTCATTAAGAACCTCGACACCAACTACGACATCGTCCGAGACTTGTTCGACGACGGCCACGAGATTGGAGCCAACTCCCTGGATGGTACCTACCCGACAAACGAAGAAGACTGGAGAACAGTGTTGCAGAGTAATGTTCAGTTATCTCTTTCTCTCAGTGTGTCATCTCACAATGTCTAGTTATCTCCTTCTCTCAGCGTGTCATCTCACAATGTCTAGTTATCTCCTTCTCTCAGTGTGTCATCTCACAATGTCTAGTTAGCTCCTTCTCTCAGTGTGTCATCTCACAATGTCTAGGTATCTCCTTCTCTCTGCCATCTCACAATGTCTAGTTGTCTCCTTCTCTGTGTGTCATCTCACATTCTCTAGTTATCTCCTTCTCTCAGTGTGTCATCTCACAGTGTCTAGGTATCTCCTTCTCTGTGTCAACTCACAATGTCTACTTATCTCCTTCTCTCAGTGTGTCATCTCACAATGCTTAGTTATCTCCTTCTCTCAGTGTGTCAACTCACAATGTCTAGTTATCTCCTTCTCTGTGTGTCATCTCACAATGTTTAGTTATCTCCTTCTCTCAGTGTGCCATCTCACAATGTCTTAGTTATCTCCTTCTCTCAGTGTGTCATCTCACAATGTCTAGGTATCTCCTTCTCTCTGTCATCTCACAATGTCTAGTTATCTCCTTCTCTGTGTGTCATCTCACAATGTCTAGTTATCTCCTTCTCTGTGTGTCATCTCACATTGTCTAGTTATCTCCTTCTCTCAGTGTGTCATCTCACAGTGTCTAGTTATCTCCTTCTCTGTGTCAACTCACAATGTCTAGTTATCTCCTTCTCTCAGTGTGTCATCTCACAATGCTTAGTTATCTCCTTCTCTCAGTGTGTCAACTCACAATGTCTAGTAATCTCCTTCTCTGTGTGTCATCTCACAATGTTTAGTTATCTCCTTCTCTCAGCGTGTCATCTCACAATGTCTAGTTATCTCCTTCCTCTGTGTGTCATCTCACAATGTTTAGTTATCTCCTTCTCTCAGTGTGTCATCTCACAATGTCTAGTTATCTCCTTCTCTCAGTGTGTCATCTCACAATGTCTAGTTATCTCCTTCTCTCAGCGTGTCATCTCACAATGTCTAGTTATCTCCTTCTCTCAGTGTGTCATCTCACAATGTCTAGTTATCTCCTTCTCTCAGTGTGTCATCTCACAATGTCTAGTTATCTCCTTCTCTCAGTGTGTCATCTCACAATGTTTAGTTATCTCCTTCTCTCAGTGTGTCATCTCACAATGTCTAGTTATCTCCTTCTCAGTGTGTCATCTCACAATGTCTAGTTATCTCCTTCTCTCAGCGTGTCATCCTCACAATGTTTAGTTATCTCCTTTCCCACAGTGTGTCATCTCACAATGTCTAGTTATCTCCTTCTCCTCAGTGTGTCATCCTCACAATGTCTAGTTATCTCCTTCTCTCAGTGTGTCATCTCACAATGTCTAGTTATCTCCTTCTCTGTGTGTCATCCTCACAATGTTTAGTTATCTCCTTCTCTGTGTGTGTCATCTCACAATGTCTAGTTATCTCCTTCCGTCAGTCTCTGCCATCTCACAATGTCTAGTTATCTCCTTCTCTCAGTGTGTCATCTCACAATGTCTAGTTATCTCCTTCTCCAGTGTCATCCCTACAATGTCATCTCACAATGTCTAGTTATCTCCTTCTCTCAGTGTGTCATCTCACAATGCTTAGTTATCTCCTTCTCTCTCAGTGTGTCATCTCACAATGTCTAGTTATCCTCCTCAGTCTGTCATCTCACAATGTCTTGTATCTCTTCCTCACAGTGTGTCATCCTCACAATGTCTTGATTATCTCCTTCTCTCTGTGTGTCACCTCACAATGTTTAGTTATCTCCTTCCCTCAGTGTGTGTCATCATCACAGGCGTCTAGTTATCTCCTCCTCAACGTGTCATCTAGTTATCTCCTTCTCTCAGTGTGTCATCCTCACAATGTCTAGTTATATCCTTCTCTCAGTGTTTCATCCTCACAATGTCTAGTTATCTCCTTCTCTCAGTGTGTCATCTCACAATGTCTAGTTATCAATTCTTTCTCACAGCGTGTCATCCTCCACTCACAATGTCTAGTTATCTCCTTCTCTCTCAGTGTGTCATCTCACAATGTCTAGTTATCTCCTTCTCAAATCAGTGTGTCATCTCTCACAATGTCTAGTTATCTCCTTCCCCTCAGCGTGTCATCCTCATAATGTCTAGTTATCTCCTTCCCTCTCAGTGTGTCATCTCATAATGTCTAGTTATCTCTCTTCTCCTCAGTGTGTGTCATCTCACAATGTCTAGTTATCTCCTTCTCTCAGTGTGTCATCTCCTCACAATGTCTAGTTATCTCCTTCCCCTCAGTGTGTCATCCCCACAATGTCTAGTTATCTCCTTCTCTCAGTGTGTCATCTCACAATGTCTAGTTATCTCCTTCTCTCAGTGTGTCATCTCACAATGTTTAGTTATCTCCTTCTCTCAGTGTGTCATCTCACAATGTCTAGTTATCTCCTTCTCTCAGTGTCATCTCACAATGTCTAGTTATCTCCTTCCCTCAGTGTCATCTCACAATGTCTAGTTATCTCCTTCCTCAGTGTGTCATCTCACAATGTCTAGTTATCTCCTTCTCTCAGTGTGTCATCCCACAATGTCTAGTTATCTCCTTCTCCACAGTGTGTCATCTCACAATGTCTAGTTATCTCCTTCTCTCAGTGTGTCATCTCACAATGTCTAGTTATCTCCTTCCCTCAGTGTGTCATCTCACAATGTCTAGTTTCCCCATCTCCTGTCTAGTTATCTCCTTCCCTCAGTGTACATCTCACAATAACGTCTAGTTATCTCTTCCCTCAGTGTCATCTCACAATGTCTAGTTATCTCTCCCTCAGTGTGTCATCCTCACAATGTCTAGTTATCTCCTTCCCTCAGTGTGTCATCCTCACAATGTCTAGTTATCTCCTTCCCTCAGTGTGTCATCTCTCACAAATGTCTAGTTATCTCTCAGTGTCATCTCACAATGTCTTAGTTATCTCCTTCTGAGTGTGTCATCCTCACAATGTCTAGTTATCTCCTTCTCTCAGTGTGTCATCCTCACAATGTTCTAGTTATCTCCTTCTCTCAGTGTGTCATCTCACAACAGTCTAGTTATCCCTTCTCTCAGTGTCATCTCACAATGTCTAGTTATCTCCTTCTCTCAGTGTGTCATCCTCACAATGTCTAGTTATCTCCTTCTCTCAGTGTGTCATCCTCACAATGTCTAGTTATCTCCTTCTCTCAGTGTGTCATCTCACAATGTCTAGTTATCTCCTTCTCTCCTGTGTGTCATCATCTCACAATGTCTAGTTATCTCCTTCCCTCAGTGTGTCATCTCACAATGTCTAGTTATCTCCTTCTCCCTCAGTGTGTCATCCTCACAATGTCTAGTTATCTCCTTCTCTCAGTGTGTCATCTCACAATGTCATCTCACAATGTCTAGTTATCTCCTTCTCTCAGTGTGTCATCTCACAATGTCTAGTTATCTCCTTCTCTCAGTGTGTCATCTCACAATGTCTAGTTATCTCCTTCTCTCAGTGTGTCATCTCACAATGTCTAGTTATCTCCTTCTCTCAGTGTGTCATCTCACAATGTCTAGTTATCTCCTTCTCTCAGTGTGTCATCTCACAATGTCTAGTTATCTCCTTCTCTCAGTGTGTCATCTCACAATGTCTAGTTATCTCCTTCTCTCAGTGTGTCATCTCACAATGTCTAGTTATCTCCTTCCCTCAGTGTGTCATCTCACAATGTCTAGTTATCTCCTTCTCCTCAGTGTGTCATCTCACAATGTCTAGTTATCTCCTTCTCTCAGTGTGTCATCTCACAATGTCTAGTTATCTCCTTCTCTCAGTGTGTCATCTCACAATGTCTAGTTATCTCCTTCTCTCAGTGTGTCATCTCTCCTTGTCTCAGTTATCTCCTTCTAAGTTATCTCCTCAGTGTGTCATCTCACAATGTCTAGTTATCTCCTTCTCTCAGTGTGTCATCTCACAATGTCTAGTTATCTCCTTCTCTCAGTGTGTCATCTCACAATGTCTAGTTATCTCCTTCTCTCAGTGTGTCATCTCACAATGTCTAGTTATCTCCTTCCCTCAGTGTGTCATCTCACAATGTCTAGTTATCTCCTTCTCTCAGTGTGTCATCTCACAATGTCTAGTTATCTCCTTCTCTCAGTGTGTCACAATGTCTCACATTGTCTAGTTATCTCCTCTCAATCTCAGTTATCTCCTTCCCTCAGTGTCATCATCTCACAATGTTTAGTTTCCTCACAATGTCTAGTTATCTCCTTCCCCTCAGTGTGTCATCTCACAATGTCTAGTTATCTCCTTCTCTCAGTGTCAGCGTGTCCTCACAATGTCTAGTTATCTCCTTCTCTCAGTGTCATCTCACAATGTCTAGTTATCTCCTTCTCATCTCAGTGTGTCATCTCACAAATGTCTGGTTATCTCCTTCTCTCAGTGTGTCATCTCTCACAATGTCTAGTTATCTCCTTCCTCTCAGTGTGTCATCTCACAATGTCTAGTTATCTCCTTCTCTCAGTGTGTCATCTCACAATGTCTAGTTATCTCCTTCTCTCAGTGTGTCATCTCACAATGTCTAGTTATCTCCTTCTCTCAGTGTGTCATCTCACAATGTCTAGTTATCTCCTTCTCTCAGTGTGTCATCTCACAATGTCTTAGTTATCTCCTTCTCTCAGTGTGTCATCCTCACAATGTCTAGTTATCTCCTTCTCTCAGTGTGTCATCTCACAATGTCTAGTTATCTCCTTCTCTCAGTGTGTCATCTCTCACAATGTCTCAGTTATCTCCTTCTCTCTCTCAGTGTGTCATCTCACAATGTCTAGTTATCTCCTTCTCTCAGTGTGTCATCTCACAATGTCTAGTTATCTCCTTCTCTCAGTGTGTCATCTCACAATGTCTAGTTATCTCCTTCTCTCAGTGTGTCATCTCACAATGTCTAGTTATCTCCTTCTCTCAGTGTGTCATCTCACAATGTCTAGTTATCTCCTTCTCTCAGTGTGTCATCTCACAATGTCTAGTTATCTCCTTCTCTCTTCTCCTCAGTGTGTCATCTC